CCCTGGACTTCATGGGCTCTTGCCTTGGTTTTGAGATAGAATTGGGTGGAAAAGGAAACTGAGATCATCACAGATTCATTTCATTTGTGTCCATAAGGAACTTTGATCCCATATCTTAAGGGGAATTGACCTGCTGTACTCCTGACCTACCTTTGAGTATAAGGAAATTTACAGGCTGCAGATCTCTCCCACATAACTGTTCATCAAAGGAAAATACTTGTGCCTTGGTTTTGAGATAGAATTGGGTGGAAAAGGAAACTGAGATCATCACAGATTCATTTCATTTGTGTCCATAAGGAACTTTGATCCCATATCTTAAGGGGAATTGACCTGCTGTACTCCTGACCTACCTTTGAGTATAAGGAAATTTACAGGCTGCAGATCTCTCCCACATAACTGTTCATCAAAGGAAAATACTTGTGTTTGCTCTTTTATTTGTTGGAAATGCTCCCAGTGCTCAGACTCCTGTGACCCATCAGATGACAGCCATGAGCATATCCAGAGAGGAAAACAGCAGTGAGACTGAGGAATTCATCATGACAGAAGAAGCCTCATCAACATCTTCCTCACCAGGTAGTCTGGTTGGTTTGGCCTTCCCACAAGCCTGAGTGACACCCGTTTCACGAGCTGATTTGAATAGCAAGCACAACTCTGGCCAGGGGACAGGAGTTCCCTCGCAGTAGTAAAGGCACACCTGGCCTGGGAGCTGAGGAGGAAACAGCTCCTTTCTGAGGCAGGGAGGAGAGCAATGCTGTGCCTGAGGGCAGGCCGATAGAGATTGCTTTGTGGGCTGAGGACTGAGTAGCTGCCAGCCCTCGACTCACTGGCAGGAGGATAATCTTCCATGATGCCTATCCTGGAGAATGGCAGCGAGCCCGGAGCAGCCCACAGGCTGCTGCTGGCGGCAGTGCCCTGCCAGCTCTTGAGGGAGGACGGGAGACGGATCCGCCGGAGCCCTGGGAGAGAGGAGACGTGTTTGTGACGGTGCCTGGGGGCAGGGCCTGCCTGGTGGTTGTCACCCCGTGTGACGGGGTCACACCTGTCCCTCCGAGCAGGGTGTCTGCGCAGAGGGTGCCCCGAAGTGATGGAGGAGCACAGCGTGGTTGTCCACCGGGGTGAATCCTCCTGTTGATGCCTCACAGGTTGTGTGGCAGCAGAGCCATAACCAGGGTCTTGGGTTAGACTCAGCAAGACTGCATGGAACACCCTGCTTTGGTTCAGCTGACAGCTTAGAATACAATCATAGAGTTCTTTGGGTTGGAATGGAACCTTAACAATCATCTAGTTCCAACCCCAACTCCATGGGCAGGGACACCTTCCAACAGACCTGGTTGCTTGAAGCCCAATTCAACCCAGCCTGGAACACTTCCAGGGATTGGGCATCCACAGATTCTCTGGGCAACAGGTTTTTGTGCCTCACCACCCTCACAGGGAAGGACTTATTTGCTTGCACTGAAAGCTAAAAACCCCCAAGAGTTGCTGGTTGTTAAAAAACCAGGCTCTAGTCGCTGCACATGACTCTGCATTTTGGGTTTGGCAAGCCCAGGAGACAATTTACAACAGGCAGGTGAGAGACTCTTTGGTGAGCAGGCTTGGGAGAGCCTGCCCCTTCCTGGGTGGTTTTTAGGAAGTTGTTCAGGGTCAGCTCCACCAAGCTGTCTCTGGCTGTTCTGTCTCCTCAAAGCAGCCTGTGTGGCAGGGGTGTATCTGCTAGCAGTTGGAGCTCCTCCCTCCTGTTGACTTCTCTAACCTGCTTAGGTACTGAAGGAAATCCTGCTAAGCATCGGTGACCTTTAACAATCTGGCTTTCAGAGCTCAGTTTTCCCTTTGGTAGATTAGAGGCAGTGATGAATATCTGTGTAAAGCATTCTGAGACCTACATATGAGGAACACTTACATAAGACTCAGCAAAAATAATTAGTAGTACTTACAAGGGGTTAACTTTTTTTCCTCCCTTGCAAAGATTAACTCTGGGCTCAGCTCACAGTTGTGTTGCAGTACAGCAGCTGAGCTGTAGTGACTCTCCAGTTGCTGTCCAGTGGCCAGTCCAGCCTTGGATTTAGGATTTGAAATGGCAAACATGAGGCTGTGCAAGGAGGAGATCTCCGTGGAATGGGGCAAATCTCACAGTTTGGGGTATGCTGACGTGCACACAGAGGTGTCTGGCACAGACCCAGACTCGTTAGGGCCTCAGACAGCTCCTGTAATAAAATGAATGCTTGCTTTATCAAGAAGGGCTGTAAAACACTTGCCTCTGTTTCAGGTACTCTGCTTGAGGTATCCCAGAGCACAGCTGAGGGCAAGACGGCTTCGGAAAAGCCTAAACCCAAGAAGAATCGCTGCTTCACCTGCCGGAAGAAGATTGGGCTGACTGGTGAGTCCCTGGCTCTGGGAAAACTTGGCTGTGGCCTAAACAGTCTGTGAGGAGATCTCTTTGCTGTGGTGCTGCTGGGTCAGGGGCTCAGTAGCTGGAGGTTCCATCCAAATCCATCCATGAGCTGTGGTGCTGCAGGGGAGGTGGGAGGGGAGCTCTGATCTGCGGCAGCACTGGCTGAGGCAGCAGCTTGGGAATCTGCTGCTCCCTGCCAGGGTCCTGGCAGCACTTGGATGCAGGATTGCAGAACTGGATGCAGCAGCACCTCTCAGACTGTTTCTGCTGCTTGGCAAAAGTTACTGTAGGCAGAGCTCTCTGTGGATTGGAATCTGCTCCTGTTCAGGGCTACATGAAGCTTTCGTAATAGTGTCCTGAACTGAGTTAGACCCAAATGGAAAATCCCTCTCCAAGACTCATCCCATTTGTTAATGCTGCTTGATTCCCACTTTGAGCTTCCTGAGAGCAGTTTGGCTCTCATCATCCAGTCTGTAAAGCTGCAGAGAGAGGTACTGGGGTTGTGTCAGGTCACTGCTGTTGATGGGAAAACTGCCTCTGGAAATTGAAGCAATTAATTTGGCTGTGGTTTGTTAATAAAAACATCATTCCCTTAAATAATCTCTGGCATTTAGTGTTTCCCTAGAAAAAGTTAGCTCTGGTCTGTTCCAACAGGGTGCTCACCCCTAGCCTGGTGCATCCAGCAGCCAGGGACTGGCTGTTTCCATGAGTGTGAAAGGCTTTGGCAAAGTCTGCACTGGGAAGTTTGAACCCGAGCTTGTCTGGGGATATGAAGAGGCTGTCCTAGGAAAAGTGTGGGTTTATAAACCTCAACTGGACAGGGTAGTCTGTGCCCAGCTGCCAGGTCCTCAGGGAGTATTGCTTTCTTGGAGGAGTGTTTCCTTAAGAGCTTTAAACTGTGAGAAGTGTCCTCCTGTAGGAATCAAGAGGTTCCTAAAGAGAACTGCTGTGAATTCAGGGCATTTAGGATGAGTTGTCTCAAACAGGAGTAAAGTGGCACCTCGGGCCAAGGTGTTTGTGGGCTTTGCAGCCTGCAGTTGGAGAGAGGTTAAGGGACACTCCCTGCCTGCTCCCTGCCTCAGTTTCCCAGTGTGCTGTGTTAGTGGTAGCACTCTGAACAGCACTCACTGCTCTGAATGAAATGACCAAATTAGGAATTCTGAAGCCCAAATAGCTCGAAAGTGACCCTAATGTGGTGATGGTTCCACTGCTTTGCTGCTGGTCAGTCCAGATGCTGCCGTGTGACACTGGGGAGCCAGGCAGGCTCGGAGGGCTTGGGCTGCCTGGGGAGCCTGCTCTGGATTAGCAGTCTGGCACTCTGCAGTGCCTGGCATGTCCCCTGTCCCTGGGGAGCACAGAGAGCAGCTGCTCTAGGAGCATCTCCCAGCGCTGTGACAGCTGGGGCTGCCTGGAGCACACAGAGCTACCGAGGCACAGGAAGGCAGAGAGCCACTCGTGTCTTGCCCCACACTGAGAGTGCCTTTGACCTGTGGGGAACAACAGCCCCCTCCCTTCCCTGCCCCTCTGTCTGCATTGGTGGCGTTTCCTGGCCTGGCAGGAAGGAGCAGGGGCCCTGCCGCCTTCCTGCCGGGCTAGGCAGGGACTGATGTGGCTTTGTCTCTGCTCTTCCTCCCCTCAGGCTTCGACTGCCGCTGCGGGAACCTGTTCTGTGCCATTCACCGGTACTCCGACATGCACGCCTGCCCCTACGACTACAAGGCAGAGGCTGCCGAGAAGATCCGTAAGGAAAACCCCATCGTTATCGCTGAGAAGATCCAGAAGTTGTGAAGGGGTCTGAGCAGCTCGGACTGCAGCCAGGTGGCCTGGTGCTCCTCCCCTTCCTCCCAGCCTTCCTCCTCCTCCTCCTTCCAGCCCCCGCGGTGGTGCGAGGGTGACTCTGGCAGCGCACACAAACCAGCACCTGGACATGGGGACTCTGTGCACCTCTTTGGCAGTCAGTTGGTGTTCCTTCTCTCCCTTCCTGCCTGTCCAACAGCCACAGCTCAGCTGATCTGTTCTCAACCAGCTTCCTCAAGAAAAAGGGACTGTCCTGCCCTGCTGCTCCAGTGCTAAGACCTTCAGACTTGCCTCTTACTGGGCTGTTTGCTGAGTGTCATCACAGGCTCTGCTGGGCTCTGCCAGGCACCCTTTCCCTTCCCAGCAGCTCCCAAGTCCTGCAAACCGCCTGGGACTTGTGGCCAGAGCCCCTGGACTTTCTTCCCTCTTCCCCACTGGCTGTAAACCCGGGAGCTGGGGGATCCCGGCAGCCAGGCTGCCGTCTGCTCCCCGGGAGGTGTTTGGTCCTGGATGTAGAACAGATGATTCCATAGCTCCAATGCCCCAAATCCCCCTCCCCACCCTCTGGCATGCCGTTGGAGAAGCGCTGAGGTGGCTGAGCAGCAGTGCTGGCACAGGGAAGTCATTTCGTGGCTTGAGGTGGCATGGGCAGGGCAGGACCTTTGGGAAGGTTCTGCTCACTGCCTCATGCCTCTGTCTGCAGGGAGGGAGCTGGTCTTCTGTCCAGGGACACCCCTGCACCAGCCTCCTGTGCTTCAACACCCCTGAATAACCCTGGCTGCTTTCCCAGTGAGGTTTGTGTCACCCAGGGCTGCCTGTGCCTCCCCTCCCCTCTCTCCCTGCCTTCTGCCTTACACAAGTTGCTCTCATCAGGGTTGTGCACAAAGCTCAGGTCGCCACACCTCTGCTTCCATACTTGTCCCTGCATGCAGGTGACAGCAGGGTTCCCTCCTCCCTTGTGGCTGGGC